ATTACGTATATTATTATTATCCTCTGTAATTCTATATTATTCATTTCTTAATTAAATATTTATGTTTAATTTATGTTTCAATCCTGAATTCGTAATAACACTTAGTTTAATGATAATGAACTTATTATTACTGTCATAATTATCAACTATTTGTTTGTTTTCTTTCACTTTATTCATTATTATTTCTTCAAGTGTTAACCTGTAATTTTTATTCGACTTTTAATAAGATTGTGTATAATGTCATTCATTCTTCTGTACTGTGCTGTGTCTGTAATTGGCCTTGCGGCTGTTGACTCGGCACATTAATAATAAAGAATTGAATTGAATTGATTTATTATTATTATTATTATTATTTTTGTTGTTGTTACGGTCATTATTGTTTTTTATGATTTTTTGTGTTATTTTTTATTAAATATTTTGTTTTTACTGAGATGCCAACTTTTCTTATGTAATACTTGAAGCTTGGACACCCCAGTCCACCCCAGGAGCATTTAGAGCACAACTGAACTAGAGACAAAGACAGCAATCGTCCCCCAGACTGTAGGGTAATAAGGCCAGGAGCTGCTAAATAGTGAAGAGTTGTTGGCCCCATGACAAACCTGCAAGAACTCCCCTTTTGGTTGATCGTGACTGCTTATTCGTATATTCATAGCTTCCCTCCATATCTGGAGGCTGCTCCTCCATCTGCATTCTGAGCACACGTCATGCTGCAGTGACAAGGCCCCATTAAAGATGGAATATTTCAACAGTTCATTGAAATGTAATGCATATTAATTTTTCTCTATCCTTGGACAAGAATCATGTGCATCTGACAAAAGTTTAATTTCCCATTGAATCTTCAATTAAAACATAATTCTGTCGAGGTACATTTCTGAATACTAACTATGCTACAAGCCAGAAGGTCGCGGGTTCAAGTCCCAATGATGTCATTGGGTTACTTTTCCAATTGACCTAATCCTTCCAGCCACACTGTGGCCCTGGGGTCGACTCAGACTCTAACAGAAGTGAGTACTAGGAATTAATTAAATAATTTCCTGAGGAGTAAAGTGCGGCTGGCGCGTAAGGCTGACAACCTTACCGCCATCTTTGAGCCGACTGTCTAGAGATAATGTGGGACCATCAACATCTCACAAACCTATGGGAACTTCATGGCCTGAAATTGCAGATGTGTGCTACCCAGAACACTTCCATGTCGCAGCACATACAGTACTATTTCCAGTTGTACTCACTGCACAACATGGTAACTATCAGGAACATTAGCAGGATGAACTTGTGAATGGATTATATGGAGAAACATAAGATATCCTGAGCATGAACTATGAACTATGAGACATAGGTCATCCAGTACAGCAGTGCCATCAACCTAGCAGCTTTATGTAGACTTCTAATGAGAAGGTGAAGATGATGATGCTAGTCTTTAGAGTGTCTGCGAAATGTTCCACAGTTCATTTATTGTGTGAACTGCAGTACAAGAAAGTAGCACCAAATTAATTTTCAGGGAAAACCTAATTGAGAACATATTCTTGCATGTGACTACTAGCTCTTCTTTTTAAATCTTGGTACCCAATTACCAGAATGCATTTTTTTATTATGGCCCCAATATAAATACATTTAAAGATTTGTATGATCATTACAATGATTATGTCAAGAAGGATCAGATAGTCGGGGCATGTAGCCTGCATTGAAGAGGAGAGAACTTTGATTGGAGAACCTAATGAATGGCTGTATAAGGGGTGGGCCTTCCTGGCCCTTGCACCATGACGACAGCGATCTATTGTGCCTTTGGAGAACCTAAAGGAATGAGACCACTAGGAAAATTTAGATGTAGATGGAAGACTATAACTGAAACTTGTAAATTAACGGACTGTCAGGTCACGCGTGGCATTGACATGTCATTTGCTGAAGATTTATCCATCACGGAGCTTTGTCAGTATAATGAATAAGTGTAAACATTTACTACACCAAGATGATGACCAAACTAGATGCTTTGATAGTTCGAAATCGTTTATTCTTCAGAATCACTGAGGGCTGGGAGATAAGTGTTACCCCCTCCCCCCACACCTGCATACGTTTCCCTTATTACCGAGTGAGCTAACGCGTACTGTAGGTTTAGTCTGCGTCGACGAGATGTCAGCACACGCAGCTCATTGTTGCTTATCAGCCTTATCAGTATGTGGGTTGATCAGGATCAGTACGAACAGTAATCAGTACTCTACACAAGACGGTTTCGAGATGGATTATCAATTCCGATAGAGCTCTCACAGATTGTGTCAAAGTCGAAGTTACATTGCGACTGACAGCGTAACTGCTTTAAATGCCCTCGAATAGTATTAGATTAACAGCTAATTTGTTGGTTGTGTTGTGTGGTGAGGTTATGAAGCTGTGTTAAATATCAACTATCAGTTAGCTAGTATTTAATTTGTTTGCTTTTTGTTTAAGAACAAGCTGGCCCTTGAAGTTTATGGGAAAAATAAAGGAAGTCGTGCACTCAAAAGTTTTAGGGATTTTGCATTGACAGCTTACGATTTAAATGACTATTTTAGTAACGCACTGTAGACAGGTTAATGTGGCAAAAGTATGCCGGTTTCGTCAACACTTCAGACAAAGTGTGGATTTTATGTCGTGTAATTCATTAAAACTGTCTTCTTCAAATATGAGTAAACGGAAGGTTTTTGTAACTCGTCCAGATGTACCTGCGGCAGGCTTGAATATGTTAAAAGAGCGGTAGGTAATATATGTTATGTGATATTTGTTATAGTTTAAAAAAAGATAAATTTCTAATGCCGAATGAAGTATGAATTGCCGTATTCGTGTAGCGAAGTTAATTGTGAGGTATTAAAACGAACATAATATGACGCCTTATTATACAGGCCTACCGAATTGTGTGGCCAAGCTTGTTGTACCCTTTTTAACAAATACGTATTGTTCTTTTGGGCCCCTTGCTTTTTCTTCTCTACATAAATGATCTATCAAAAACCATCAATAATAAATCTAAACCAATTCTATTTGCAGATGACACTAGTATAATATTTAAGAACTCTAAAATTGAAGACTTTAAAAATGATATAAATTTTGTATTTGAAGCTTTAAATAGATGGTTCGAAGCCAATAAACTCTCACTAAATTTTGATAAAACCCATTACATACCATTCTTAACTAAAAACAGCCACCAAATTGATCTGGTCATCAGTTATGCCAACAAATTAATCTGTGAAGCACCTGACACAAGATTTCTTGGAATACATGTAGACAGTACACTGTCTTGGAAAATACATATAGAACAAACTATACCTAAATTAAGTGCAGCTTGCTATGCAATGAGATCGATTAAGCCCTTTATGCCGCAGGAAATACTGAAGATGGTTTACCATGCCTACTTTCATTCTATTATGAACTATGGATTAATATTCTGGGGGAACTCTTCACATAGTGTAACAATTTTTAAGGTACAAAAGAATATAATTAGAATCATTACAGGATGTAGAAGTAGAGACTCATGTAGAGATTTATTTAAGAAATTAAAAATTCTACCTCTTCAATCACAATACATCCTATCGCTTCTCTTTATTTGTTGTGTACAACAAAAATAAATTTGAGTTAAATTCCAATATCCATAACATGAATACTAGACAAAAATATAACTTCCATCTACCTTCATCAAACTTATCACTATATCAAAAAGAGTCTACTTTTCTGGCATAAAAGTGTACAATAGTCTCCCACAAAGTATCAAAAACTTGAGTAATGATGCTAAACATTTTAAATCAGAGCTAAAGAAATATCTGCTTGCTCATTCCTTCTACTCTGTAGACGAATACCTCAATGTAAATAGAGAATAATGTAGAATTAAGCTATATTAGTTTAAGATAAAATTACTTGTACCAGTAGGTATTGTTTTGACTTGTTCTGTNGAGGTCTACTTGAGGCCTCCGGCGGGTGCGAACAGATGGCCCCGGCTGCCCTACGTCTGTGTCTGACGCAGGTACTGCTGCCACTGTGATGTCAGTAGCCCAAGCTTTTGCCAGTTTCAACAGAAATGCTTTGTATTTCAAAGTAGAATTTTTGTTCACATTTTTGAAAACCATAAATGAATTGAAAAATGCACAGTTTATAAGCCACAGTGAGTGCAC